AACTGTCTATCTGTCTCTCTCTCCACCTTCTTCTACCTCTCCTTCTTGTTTGTATGTGGATAATTTATTTAATGTTTAAATGTTCCGAGTCTCCAAAGGAGGCTCGAGTTTTGAGAATTAAAATCTGCTTGTTTGTTTGACGGATAGAGTGTTGTGTGTCCATATCGAAATCCGCCGAAACGTTCAATGTGATTTGTTCTTCTTGTACATTTTGGGGACCTGATCCGAAGAGGAATCGATTTGGACTACGGTTTCGGATACTTGGGTGACAAAAAAAACTGCGTGTTTATGAAAGGGAAAGGATCTGGTAAACAGTAAAGGACAAAGAGAAAAACAGAACGAATGAGAAAAGGAAGGAAAGTCAGCTTTTATTGGTAGAGAGAAAAATAGAAAGAATGAACGAAAGTCGCTTTATTTGTAGTAGTAGTAGTAGGAGGAGGAGTGGGAGTAGTAGCAGTAGTAGTTATTGTTGTTGTTGTTGTTGTTATATTATTATTATTATTATCATCATTATTATTGTTGTTGTTGTTGTTGTTATTATTGTTATAATTATAGAATCGAGTTATTAATAACCTGGGGAAGTCAATAAAACGAAGAAAAAGACGATAAGCTTGGTGGAAAAGACAGCATCAGCAACAGCATAGAGAATCGGCAATCCGAAAAGATCACGCGTATGTAAACAGAATGATGTTTGAGATTATTTGGGTTCGGGGGAGGGGCAGCGAAAGCCTTTCTGAATGGTTCAATCCACGGATGACAGTACAAAAAGTAGTTCTGAAAGGTTCGCCTGGATGGGGGGGGGGAAATCCAGGGATTCAAAGGAGGACGGCTCTCTTCTGCGGGGCTTTTGTACCCAACCAATAGTGCTAAGTGCTGTTGAAAGCAGCTTTATTGCTCATTACTCACCGCTGTGAATGTAAATTTATTGATCCTCTTCATAAAAGGCTAGAGATGGGGGGAAAGACTGCTTAGTTTATTTTCTGTCTTGGGGGAAGAGCGGATTTTATTCCGCTCGCCGTGGGTGCGTTGTGTTTCTCCCGTGGCTAATCTCTTCTGTGTCCTGATGTTCTGTGCGGATGTTTTATTTAAGAGTTTGTTTCAAATGAGCAGAGTGCAGAGCCGGCTGGGGTTACTTTGCTACACGAATCGTCTTGTTAGAAAAGGGGAGCGGGGAGAGAGAGAGAGAGAGAGAGAGAGAGAGAGAGACGGAGAGAGAAA